GAGTAGAGGCAACAATAGCTGTAGTGCCTACTTTATCTACATAGTGTTATAACATACCTTAATGCTTGAGTAACCTCATAATGAAGTGTACAGGGTGAGTCAGGACATAAAAAAGAAAAACACAAATTATTGATTTTTTTGATACTTGTATTCTTTATTGGACCTTATCCAGAACATATTAATTAACCTAAACTAGTAAGGGTCACTTGATGTTTTTTAAATAATTGTTAAAGACTGATGTGAATGACAGCTGGAATCAGAGTATGCGTGAGGAGTTAAAGATTACATAATATACAACGTAGTACTCCAGTGGTAACAAATCTCATAACCAGTTAGGTTAAAATAAAATGCACCCCGTATAAGTTTTTCTTATTAAGGACAGAGCCTTTAAAATCAAATTCTGTGCATAAAACTGAGTAGAATTTATAACGAGTTAGATACTAACATTTCAGGATGAATGGTCTCTCAAGAGGCGCAAACGTAAATTGAGAGGCATGTTGTTGATTCAAAGGTGACGTTTATTTTTGTTCTGCACAATTTCACAGGCGCTAAGTCATAAGGGTGCTAAAATTTTAAGTGAGTTTTGCTAATTTGAGTATGCAAATTTGCACAAACTTTATATGTAGTCTTAAGTAGAGTTATTGCTCATTTGTGGCTGTACACTTGCTTATTTCTCTGACTGTATCATATTTAATGTCATAGTGAAGTCTTAATTTTAACCATTGCTGTACAAAGTTACTCTAACACATTTTCCCGCTTTAGTCCTCTTTCGTGTTATGTGAATCAGACAGCTTGTGTAAATTTTTTTGTGGGAGCTTCTTGTCTTTTTTTATTGTCGTTTAGTCTTTGTACTATTTCTGACACTCTGCAGATTCCTTCCAACAACTGAGGCAGTTTAAAGCTCACTGCTTATTAACTTAAAGAACAATACTTAAAGAACAATAAAATGTAACACAAATATATGTGAATTAAGCTTGGCACAGTCTAAACAAATAATCATTTAAAACAGTAATATAGAACAAAGATTTGTGTCCCTTTGTAACTCTACTATGAAATGAATTAGAAATGGTTACATTTTTTTCTTATAGATACTTTGCTGGAAGCTGATGTGGCCAAAAACTGGACCGCTCTAGAAGCAAAAGGTTTTTTCTTAATTCCTTGTCAGTGTGGATGTTAGATGTTTTATTATCCTTGCTAGGGTTTCCATGCTTCTTGGTGATCGTGAATTCTGAGAACATACAGGACACGTTGTCAAACCGTATCCTTTCCTGCCCATGATGATTATGCTCTTTGGACAATGCTATATTACCTCAGTGAAAAAACAGGAAAAGTAAAGGGAGACATAAGCAGCAGATATAAACAGTAATAATAGTATCTCAGTTTAAAATGGATGAAAACAGTTGAACCTAACAATATTTTGTTTATAATTATTCATTATTTATAGAGAGGTCAAAGTCATGTGTTGTGGCTTTTTTGTTTTGTGTTTTTGTTTTCCAAATGAAGTTACTTCAAAATTATTTTGGCCTGAGTCGGAATATATTTCCAAAGCATTTTGAGATGTGATGCTACTGATTATGTTCTCTTTTTAATAGACCCATTTTCTTCACACGTGTGTTGTATTCATTATACCTTTCTGATAAGAGTAGCAAGATATATATATGTATATAGTTGGGTCGAAAGAACACTTATCACAGTTATTTCCTGGCCATGGAAATAAATGGCCATTGTTAGAGGACAGTATCTGTGTTATTGGTCCCAAACTGTAGGCTGGGCCACTTTGCTTCAGACTAGAAAAGTCAAGATGCATTTTCAGACAAATGAAAACTACACAGCTGAGTATACACACCTTGAGCGTAGTGGGAGGCTTCAAAGTCTAGAAATGTAATGGAAAATTAGGGGTTCGTTCTGCTTGTCAGCCAATATAAAACTTACAATGGAAACAGTAGTTTGACTGCCAACCTTTCTTTTTTGTTCTTGTCTTGTATAACTAAAACCAAAAGAACCACTGCATCAGGAAGTGCATAATAAAAGTGTCCCCTCTTATTTTACTCAAAATATCCAAGTGGATTAACATAGCAAATGTTCCTCTTCCAAATTAATTATTAATGATATACATTATATATATTATATATTATATATACATGAATACATTTTTTTGGAGCATCTATGTGCTGTATGGGACCAGTTGATACTAATTGTCCTTTCAGAACTAAATATCTAAGCCTCATGAAGCCAAAGCAAGCACCCTGTGTTACTCAAATAATGCAGCGAGCACTCAAGACGAGAAAAAACGTGCTAACTAGTTTAGATTCAAGTAGGAAGACAAATGATTTATATTATAGAAAGAGGTGTCGTTGACTCTCTTTTTAAATAGCTGTGCTTCTCCTTCAGCTGGGCTATCTTCAAGATAAACTGTTACAAAGTAGGTAGGCACATGACAATTCTGTGTCATAAAGGCAATTTAAAGTTGACAGGTTCAAAAAAAAAAAACCCACCCCCAAAAAACCCTAGAGTTTTTTGCAGTTAGAGCACAAAGCTCAGTAAAGGAAATCCTTGAAATTTGTTGAATCTGTTAAATTTCTTACGTGATTATTGGATTGGAGTTCTCATACCAGATGCTGGTCTGTAGTCTATGTTACAGAAAAGTGTTGAAGACATTTTTGGTCCCCTCACTATCACTATACTGCTGACATGAGCAATTAGACTCTCTGTAACTCTTTCCACATTTAAAAATTGGCAACTTTTTAATTTAAAAAAAGAGCACAAATTAATGTACTTATTATTTGGTAATAATTACCTGTCTGAAGATGTTGCTGTTAGGTGGCGTTTGCAAAAATTTTGGGAAACAAAACTGTACTGCACAAATTATTGGTATTTCTAAAGAACAATAATAAGCTTACTGTAGAATAGCAACAGTGAAATTCTGAAATCAAATACCTCACCTGTAAAACAATGCAGCTATGGATAACTACTGGATATAATGCCTATGGAAAACAACTTGATATTCCTTTCAGATGTATCAATTTACATTCATGAACAGCAATTACTTTGATTGACATACAAAGTTATATGCATACAGACATTATATATAATGTCTACATAATAGACATTTTAAGTGTTTGAAGTACCAATTACTATTGCACTGTACGATAATACATGCAAATATTAGGAAATTCAGATTGAGAGAGCCTATGTGAAAGTGCATGAAATGCATTCCTGTGGCTTTTACAGACATGTTATACTGTAAAATAAAAATATGGAAAATGATAGCACAGGTCTGTCTTACAAGATGAAGGATGAAACAAATCAAAATGCATCTAAATATGTATTTAAATATCTGAGGAAAAAATATGCAATCGAGGCTGCCCAAAGTCCAGGGCATTCTTTAGGATTGATTCTGGTTATCCCATCCAGAGGTCTAGAGCATGTAATTACCACTTACCATTCTCCTGGAAAGCAGATGTAAAATATATCACGTCTTGATACCTGTGTTACGTGAAAATAGAAGTTATTAACAGAGTAACAAGGCTGTTGACTCACTTCAAACTTTAGATAGATCTCAAGCAGGCAATAAGTATTTCAGATGATTTCAGCTGCTGTGAACATTTCAGAGAGTCCGCTAAATTAAATCCTGTATTTCACTCCACCATATTTATAGAACTATAATAGGGTGGTGGGTTTTGAGGTTTTGTGTTTTTTTTATTTAAGATTGTTAAAACTGAGCGAGTTTTAAGAGTTGGACAGACTCTCTGTTCTCTCTTTCACATATGGAGCAATATCTCATCATGAAGGCAATTTTAAACAAAAAATATTAGATAAGAAATCACAATAGGATATTATACCCACCGGTAGCATTGGAGACATGTTCAAGTACTGAGCATGTGAAGCAACTCTTTGGCTTATCTTTCAGAATTTACATTTTTCTGCTGTTGATGGCCTGAATAGTAGTCAACTGAATAGGTGTCTTCACTGAAGAGCAATTCGAGCATCAGCAAAATTTGTTATTTTAGCCTTATTTAGGCAGACTCAAGCTACCCACTGGGCCTGCGCTTGCCCTATGTCATGAGGAGTTTTGAAGCGCATCTTCCATTAATTTACTCTTATTCTGTGATGACGAATTATAGGAGAACTTGACAAACTTCCCTGGGACATGGCAGGGATCATAGAAGAGCTACAGGATTGTGAACACCCAAGCGCTTCGGCCTCTGTCCCTGCCTCAGAGCAGGTGGATTACAAGTCTGAGTGAAACCTCTCTCTAGGCATAGTGTGGCCATATAGCAGCTCTGCCTCTGGGACTCCTAGTACTAGATAAAACGTTCACGGGACGCAAGTCAGTGATCTGGTATGAACTTACTATTAGAATTAAATTGCTCAAAAATGTTTTGATGGCTTTACTTCGTGCTGTCAAACTTTATGCGGGGATCACATACAGTTGGTCTTCCTATGACTGACGAATTCAACATACAGGCACGCTGCTAGCCTAAATGCCATACTCTGTATTCAGCGGAAATACAGCTATGTGCCAACACCTGATCTGGATCAAATTTGTACTACGGAGTGATTTAAGAGTGCATAAATCTGGAACAAATGATGATGTAACCGTAGCCACTGTTCTTAGCTTATGAACCGAGAGATAAGCTAATAGCCAGCATACAGCTGGTAAGGAATCTGGAGAGGTAAAATCCTAGGTTAATTCTGTTCTAAGTCTATATCCTAAATGGTTTCAAATGTGCGGCGGGGGGATATTTTTTGTTAAATTTTAGGTTTTCGGTGTTGCAACAGAATATATTTTTAAGGAGGAGAAAGCTAGGGGAAAAAAATGAGTTGTCCTGTTAAATATAAAATTGAATTAGCTGAAAAGTACTTAGAGGAATTAGTTTGTCATTCCTTTCTGTTCTCAGTTATCCTTAATCTACAGAGTGGATAAACTTAGAGTTTATGCATAACTTCTGAAGAGCTTTTTTGTAAGAGGCTGAGAATCTTTTTCCTTTAACCCACAGGGGATGTGTGTGACTCCAACCCCTGTGAAAATGGTGGCATCTGTCTATCAGGCTTGAATGATGACTTCTATTCATGCGAGTGTCCTGAAGGCTTCACAGACCCCAATTGTTCTAGTGTTGTGGAGGTTGGTAAGTGCAAACTAAATGGTGGAATAACTGTTTGAATACCCTATTAGTTGTGACTGGCAAAACAGTTACTGTGTCTGCTGTTTTGTGTAGTGCTGCAGTCGATGCATTGTTTGTTATTGGTGCCTTGTCCCTATTTCTACATCATAGATATCAACGCCATAATTAGAAGACAGTTAAAACAGTATCTCAGAAGTGTATCTGCAAATAAAAATCACGTAGAAAGGTTCAGTGCCCTACTTACAAAAGAGAAAAGATCATAGTTGTGACTTAACACGACCACTGTTTCTCAAAAATCATTGTAGTTAAAATACTTGTGAATATCCTTCTGCTAATTTCAGTGGTTTAATCTCACTTCAAGCTTCGTTTCTAGTAGTTCTATGCCTAGGTCTAGACAGTAGAGTAATTAGTAATAGAAGCTAAGTTACAGCAACAATATATGAGAAATCAGAATAAAACATATTAGTCATTTGTTTAAATTTCAGAATGATTACCCGACTGAAGGCTGCAATTTATCATTAAATGAGAACATAGAGTGCAATTTTTATATATTGAAATTTTATGATGTGTGCATGCCTCAATGTCACTGTAAATATGAACGATAGCTGCAAAGCATGCAGCAGTTCAGAGTTCTGTCTTAAGAAAACTTAGGAAGAAAAACAAAGTGCAGAGGAAGAGATGGTAGACAGCTCGTTATGTCATGGGCCATCCCACTATCTGCAGTGAAGCAGAAGAGCTGCAAGCTGATTAAGCTTTTAAATTATTCTGAAGTATGTATATACGATAGAGCCAAATAATAAATAGATGCTGCTGTTTAAATAGGTACATCTCCTGTATGTCTTTTTCTGGTAGTCGTGACTGCTACAGCAGGAAGATAAAAGATTTCAGGGATGGAAAAGCATTGGCTTATTCACGAGAAGGCAATGTCTGTGTTTGTGTTAGGAATATAAGCTACAGAATGTGACTCTGGGCAGTATCTCTTATCTGAAAGCCTTGCGTGCCCTGTATGCCTTTCTTTTGCTGACAGCCAATTTATATGAAGGCAGTACCACCTTGCACGTATTTCATATCTTGCGTCCATGTTTGTTATTCATTGATCTGGGTTACACTAATATGATTGAGCGTGTGGCAGTGGAGTAGAGCTCACACATTTTATATCAAGGCAGAAGGGCAAAACCAACAGCTGAGATCCTTAGCTTTTATAGACGCCTCGTTGTAACCATCAGAAGTAGTCTCAGCACCTTTCTAACACTAATGCTCCTGAAGGTTTGTTTATTTTTTTTATAAATAAATAAAGACCACAGACAACCTGAATACACTCTTCTGGAATTAAGTATGTCTGTCTTCATCATGAGATAAGACTGGCAGAATTTAGTCCAGGAACTGGTGGATTTTTGTGTGTGTTTGTTTTTTTCTGAATTTTTTTTTTTTCTAGGGAGTTCAAAGAAAATTTATTCTCTTGTTTGGTGTGAGCCTGGATGTTCTACATACACATTAGACACGTTACATTGTAGGTAAAATCATCTTAGCTTAATTGGTTACTAATTATTCTCTGAATGCAATTCATTAACAACTTTTAAAATGTCCTTTACCACCTTAAAGCATGGATGAAACTAGCAATTAGTCAGTGAGTGATTTTTAATATATTAATATTCACTTTTAACTAGAATCTCAGATTACAGAATTTTATGCCAATTTAAAAAATTTTAAGCTCATGTAGTTATTTTCTATTCTGTGTGGGATTGGCACAGCAGTGTTTTTGGTGACTTAAAAAGAAATAATCATATTTTTCATACTTTGCACAGCTTGGTGAACGTATTGCTCTGAGGGAGTAGATGATATTGTCAGTCTGTAGCTGAAGTGGGAATGGGGAGAATTGTTTCAATTCGAATAGTTTCAGACTTTTCATTTAATCCAAACCAATCCATTTATGCTTTTGAATGAATGTCCTGTACTACAAGGAATAGAAAAGTAGCCTTGGAATACTTTATTTTAAAAGGGCTGGAGTTACTAGCAAGCAGAAAGTACTGATGAATCCCCCTACCAAACCATGGAGTCTTTTGACTGAGACACTCAAATGTATGCCTGAATTGGAGTAGGAATTTGAAAAAGGGTTTTCCACCTTCCAGGGAGATGCTATAAAGTTAGGGAGAAGAAGGGGACAAAAGGACAAAAGGGGAGTAAGCTTTAATTCCACCATTGTTTTGGGAGTAGATCCTAAGTTTCCACAGTACAATTGGAATTATACTAGAATTGGATTGAGTTTGGGTCCCCTGAAGTTAAATTTTCTAGCAGCAAAAGTAGTAGTTTCTGTGGAAAATCAATAACTTTGGTCAGACGCTTAGTGCGCTTTTTTTCTGACTACAAAATGTTATCAGACATAGTAGCTGGTTATTACCTAACATCTGAGTTGCACAAGAAGCTTCTTTTTTCCTTGGTACAGCCACCTAAGAAACGAGACACTGCCTTCGAATCCTTCTTTCCATCCATTTCCCTCCCAGTTTTATGCATGCATGAAGGATCTGAATTTAGCCTACAGCTATATCTCATGCTACCCTAAAATGGCCTTGACATGGGTTTATTGGCAGGAAATGTGTGGATTTATCACGTACCTGGTTGGCAGGAAATTGCATTGCACATAGCTGGGAGGAAGGCAGTCATGAGTGAATCTGCAATGAAAGCATGTTGTAATATCGCTGCTGTAATTTACAACTGAATATTAGCAGGGCTTTAAAGTACATATTTATTCTTAACTAAATTCTTCAAACACTTCTACAAAATCTCAGTCTGGTGAGCAGAATAAAGCATTAGCAAGTGAAGAATTGGGAGGGAGTTAATCACAGTGCCTATGCAGACAGAGTATTACATTTTTAGTTTGCAATACAGAAGCAGTAATGAGTGGACAGCATTTGCTAAGTGAAGTACTTGATTAATATTCTTATATTAGCTAAAATATAGAGTGTTAATTCAATTTATGTTTGGCCTGTACAATTATGCTATGTGTATGCAAGCGGAGATTAAGCGTAACTTTCTGAAAACTTTAAAAGTAGTTTGCTTTAAAAAGTTACTTTAAAAGTAATATTCTGATTTCTCCTATGAAAATGATAACAGATAGTGTAAGTGAGGTAAGCGTAAGTCCATTAGACTTGAGTAATTTGAACACTGGAGGGTTTCAGTTAGCATAATCAGTTGAAAGGTTGGTCTGTTAGGAGCCAAGCAAAGTGCTGCAGGAGTCTGTGTGATGACTTTTATTGAGACTATTTATTAGAAGATATAAGATTGGAGAAGGAATACTAACACATGTTACTTCCCTTTGGCTTTCTAATGAGTTATTACCAAAAAGTTATTTCCCTTATCCCTTAGAAATTCAAAAAGGTTTTTTTTTGACAATTTCCTGTGTAGCTGAAAATACTAAGCTGGTTGAAAAGTGGTCATTTAGGAAGTCAAGAGTCACAGAGTAAAAAGGAAAGAGGAGAGCAGGGAGGAAAAAAAAGAGGAAGGAGTCTATGTCTGTGTCATTCCTTCCTTCTCTCTGAAGTGCTATACAGCACATGTGAAAAGCGGTTGGGTGTTCTGTACAGCCCTCTCATTAGATGCTCCAACATTAGACATTATTCACTAGTGTTGGCAGGATACTATTGATCTCTAGACCTTAGCTGGAAAGTCACAAATTTTCAAGAAATGTACCTCAGACAGGAGGATTTCACAGCAACAGATAACAGGGATTTTACTTAACTGAATTGTGCATTAAAATGAGTAAATTAAAAAAAAAAAGAAATGCACATGTAAATTCATGGAAAAGAAGAAAGGTAGGTGCATAAAAATACATAAAGTTAGGGAAATTAAATATTTTGACAGAAATCTTACTTAAGTTCAGCAATCGAGTTTCAAGATGGTTTGGGTGCTGTATGTATGTTCAAGGACATAAGAATGTAACTTTTTAAAAAATTATTATTATCTTAATAGTAAGTAATCTGACATGATCATAGCACCTTATTTCAGACTAATTGTTATTGGTACTTTTTCTAAACGTTACCCGTGGCAAGTCCTGACTTCTGTCATACAGCTCCACTATTTTCTGGTCTTATAACTTTGACTATCTAAAAATAATAATAATAATAATTCTTATTCTAAGCTGTTTGTAATAATAATTCATATATTTCAAGTTACTAATCATATTCTAATCATACTCTACCTGCAGTGGTCTAATGGTAATCCTGCCTTATCTGCTTTGTTACCATATCCTAAATGCTGTACGTAGACCTACTAAAAGAGCTGAGATTAAATGATAGGTCTATGATATTACCCTGTTTGTATAGCCAGGTAGTTTCAATGGTCTGTGTATCCTAAGTGATTCCAAATATCTCATAAGCTGGTGAAAGGTAAGATGGAGGCAAGCAGGAAAAATTACATTTGAATTATTTTCAATGCAGCACATCATCCAGTGAGGTAGAAGAGGATTTATTTAAACAGATAAGAGTAAAAGGTAATTATATCAAACTTCTCAAATAGCAAAATGTTTTCCAGAGGTAATAAGCATACCAAGGCCTGAATTACTTTCTCTAGCAGACTTTTGTATCGTTGGCAACGTGAATTTTAGCCTAAGTGAAAGAGATTAACATGTAATTAATATTAACATTAAAATGCATTACAGACAGTGAATTGACAGAGTTGACATCATTTAAGTAGCACATAGGTAACTCTCAGAAACCACGTAAATTACAGAAATACCATAAACTGTGGCTCTTACATGCCATGAGTAGAACTCTTATACGCGCTCTTCAGGAAGACCATTAATGTCATGGACACTGCTTGGGGGGAGAAATAACAATGTAACTATATACTTTGAAATAATATTGAGGAAAATATTTCATGAGATTAAAAATTGTTATTCCTGACTATTTGGTGTATGCATAGGAGAAACACAGGGAGAGAAATACAGGACTGATGGTAAAAGTTACAGAAAAGGGCAACTAAGTTTAGTGTGCAGCAAGGCTGTCAGA